AAAAAAATTATTTTATTTTATATAACTCATTATTATTGTATTTACTAACAAAATGAGGATATCATTTCTTACAAAATTAAGAGCCTTAAATAACTTAATTTATAAAGGGGGTTTTTTTTTTCATAACCTAAATTATATCGATTTATAGAATGTTTTAATTGAGGGGAAGGGAAGCAATATTTTTTTTATTTGGTTATTAAAAGATTTGAGAGAATGAGAGGAGAACATTTTTTTTATTTTATTTTTTAAATTTATTTATTTATTCAAATGATGAGAGAAAAGAAGATTCTCTCTTTTTTATTTTCTTCAATCTAAACATATAATTAGATTTTGTTTAGCATGGTTGAGGGTTTTTAGTTTTTTTATTTTTATTTTTAAAATTTAAATCATCAAAATTAAAAATTAAAAACTAAAATAAAGATAAAAACAATCAATTTATTAAATATAAAATTTTAAAATAGATATCTAAAAATTCTAAACTCAATTACTTTATAAAAATTTTTAATTTTATTATAAAACTTTTAAAATTTTAAAAACCAAAAACGAGTTTTATTAAATTCCCGTGCAGATATGGTAGAGGTTTACTCAATTTGTCTCTTAGATAAAAATTCTTAACTGGAAAACACATTTGACCCTAACCATTTGGCCTATAATCTGTGTAAAGGCGGTAGCAACTTAACAAAATTATGAAATGAAAGGGTTATGAATTACTTCTCTTAAAATTAGTGAACCTATTTGAGCCAATTTTTTAACTATTAATTAACTTAAAAAGACCCAATTTCAAATCAATTCACACTCATTTGTCATGCCTCTGCTTTAAAAAAAAAAAAAAAACCTAAAATAATGTAACATGAAAAATCAAAATAAATTCAGATAAAATTCATGCTAGACAATACTTTCACATACCACATATTGAGAATGTTAAAACCTTTGCCTCAACCATGTCTTTCCATCAACATTTACCTTGCAAAATGCCAAAAATAGTAAATTCTATCATTAAAAATATGAGAACATTTAATCTCAACTATAAAATAAATGAAATATAATGTAGATTTTACTTAAATCTCATCCATCATATAATTAGAGATATCTTAATTTTTACTTTTCTGTTATCTTAACCATTAAATCTTGACTACAAGAGTGATATCACTAAACATCCATGAGAATAAAGGATTAGTAATCTGAATTAATATCACAAAATTTAAACAATAGGGATTAATATAAAAGCTAAAAGAAATACTAAAAAATGAAATAGTAATGTCACTAAGAAAAACTTTTGAGTGCAAATGTGCAATGCCGAAACTTGAAAGAATATTTCATCTACCATAAGCGATTCTTGATGTACAATATGAACGTTCCAAATTTTTTATATAACATTTCTGTATCAAAAAAGAATATCAAATTCATCACAAAAACACATCTTAGATGGTATATGACTGTCAAGAGCTGCTAGCGCGATATGAATCGGGCTTGCATTTTCCCAAACTGCAGCAGCTTCTCTAGTATTAACAGTTTCCCCGAATAACTGTGAAAGAACAAAGAAAGCCATCAATCAAGTTCACTATCGATGTTCTCTATATTTCATAGATTCATTTTCTGGGAAAACTATATACCTGCAGATGGAATCAAGCATTTTGTGAGCCTCCTTGGCACCATGACTTCGGTTGTTTGCCTGAATCATGGTAAACCCATGGCTGCCGCATCCTCTCTAGCAGAAAAATTGTTCGCTTGTTCCTACATTTCCCATGAAAAACAGTATTAACACAATGGGGTGTTGTATGCTAGCACATTGCCCCTTTAAGGTCGGACATAAAATCTCTACTTTCTTCGTCTCTTAATGTCATTAAAAGATAGATTACCATACCTCAAGGCGATGCATCAAATACATCAAGAAGAGAGTTACAAATACCTGCATAAAATTTCCCCAGGTTATCATAGTATTTTAAACTTGTAGAAAACCTTTTAAATTCAACATCCCAAAGCACAAGGTCAACTGTTCTTACGAGATGGAAAAGCAGGATGACTCGAGCTGTTGGATATCTCCAAAGAAATCTTATGGCCCGGACACGCCCCGAGTCCAATAATTTTGCTGCCTTTTGTAACTGCATCAGGCATGTTGAAACACAGTCAAAACAAATGGATAGAAGGGCAAGTTGTGAATTATGAGAACAAAGATACCTGTATGCTTGCTGCAGCCATGTGACGATGATACAAAGGAAGGGGCCTGAAATTATTGTTTCCATTAGAAAACTTCAGAGATTTTAAGAATTAACATGACCAGAAAATTGCGATGAAGCAAACTATGCAGGCAAGGAGGAAAGCAATAATTAGAAAGAGCCAATGAATGAGAAGAGAATTGGCATACTCAAGTGCCTTCATTTCAGTGTCTTCTTCCCAGGAAGATGACACTTGACGAGAAACCCTACTTCTTTCTGCCTCAATCTGTTTGACGCAACATTGGCATCTTATGAAAACAGGGATATAAGAAGAAATGGATAACTAATCCTGCAGCATGTCAAAGGAGAAACATGTGCTTCCTGAAGACGCTTTATTTCCTTCTCCAACTGAAACTCTGCTGCAGCTTTTTCACTAGCCATAGTTTCTAACTGAGTTTGCTTGTAGTACTAAATCAAAGTATATATACAAGAAGTTAGCATTAACTATTAAATATTAAGAGAATAATTGAATAAGATAATTTTCAGCTTATATTACCAACAGATCGGTTAGTTCACGGTAACATTTCTCAAGCTCCATATGCTCCTGTTAGAAGGCAACAATAATCAACGCTTGTGTGGATGCCAACCATAGAACCAATAATACAATGAAGAAATACACTTAAGAAAATGCAGATAAGCCAAGTCTAAGTGAACTTGATTAACTGACACCTATCATTTTCAAATTAGATTCTAACTCATATCAACTTACGTAATGGATATACAACCTCTAGCAGCAACTCAATGCTATATCTTAAACAAAACCATCTCAGCAACTCACGAAAAGCTCTAACTAATCCAGGATATTTTCAGCTTAGTTTCAGAAGATATAGATAGAGACCTTTCTGGGCTGTGCTTGTAATGGCGCAGCTGTACAACACAAGTTATCATAGACTTGAAGACTTGTCAGGAAAATGTGGTTCTGAGGTTCCAGCAGATATTTTAAAGACAACTTTTCAGCAATGTTTCCATAATAATAAGCTGCCCCACAACAGAAGTTTTCATAGCCTAAATGAGTTCTCAGGGAAACCAGGTTCTGTGGAGTTACATAACATACTCACAAGTTACGAGTATTAAGACAACTTTGTAGTCAAATTTAAGTCTATCTGACACTGATACACACTTCATATGAGAAAAATACCATCATGCATTTCATACACATTAAGTTCATGTGTGTTTATTTACACACCACCAAATACACCTGCATGTGCATGCAAGAAAGCAAAAAGAATAAATAAGAAGTCACCTGACATGAATAATGCTCGGCTTCTCTTTTCATGGAAGCCATTTCAACCCTCATCTTCTGCACTTCTGCCTGCAGCCAAACAAGTAGATAACTTAATGAATCCTTAGAGAGAGAAAAAGAAAAAGAAAAAGAAAAAGAAAAAGAAAAAACTGATACTTGCCTCCAATGATGACAACTTACTCTCTGCTTCTCTTTGACCTTGGTGTGCACGCTCAACTTCTTCCTGCCATGCCTGGTATATTGAGCTTTTTGAATCATTAGTCTACAATTACTTCCTAATGCTGCTACGTTAAGGGGTAGGAGATTATGCTTGTAATTTAGAAATGGACTATTCTCTTAACTGCTGAACTTGCAATAAGTTATTATGGATAATGGAATCTCACGTCCACAGTAGACTGCATATTGCATTGAGATCACATAAGGGAATTCTTATTAAAAGATTCTGGTCACGTATAAAATGTTCCAACATGTGCATCGAATAATTTAAACCATACAGCCACCTTAAAATTAGACTTCCCAGAGAAGCTTCGCTTCCCAATCCACATCAGAAGGGGGAAAATAGGGAAAAAGAAAAAGAACAATGCTTGATATTTTGGTTAAATGCATATATCAAATACCAATGCCATGGATTGTCCAAAAAAATATATACCAATACCATTGTCAACAGTTTATTCTCTTAACCAGATGATCGAATATAGATCATAATAATCTATCAGAAATGTTTCAAGCCTAATAGTACAATAATTCTCCCAAAAGAACACCGGGTAGGAAATCAAGAATATGTATCATTCAAAAAAGAATCAAATGGGTTTAAAATTATTAATAAGAAAATGGTGATTTCAACCAGAAGCAGAGCCTTGGAATCTTTACCTGAATCATCTGAGTTGCTTCTTCTGGGGACTTCTTTTGTCCACGGCGAGAACGAGCTTCCATATCTTGCAATTCTTGATTTAATGTTGCACATTCAACCTGATGGTATCACACTAACCATTCGAGTAGCTTAATTCTACATATTTATCCCGTAATAAGAAGACAAACTTGCAAACCAAAGGATGGTTATCAATTTGTCTGCGTACCTCAAGCAGTGCCACCTTTTGCTCTAGCTCTGCTGCTTTTGCTGTCCTCTCATCTGCCACTCTCTTAAAAAGGAAGCAAGACAAAATTTTCAACAGTCAATGAAAATAAGATAGATCAGAAAGTTAGTAAGCACTTTTCTGTGGCTACTGAACAAAGAATGAGCACTAATTTTTTCAAAAATATACTGATGTTATGAAATCTCAAAGTCTCCAGTCTCCACGACATATGACTATGTTGCTACATAATAGACAGCTGTGTTTGTACAAAATAAACAAACAGAAAATAGTTGAAACCACCAACAACTAGTTAAAACAACAAACTAAACAAAAGAAGAGATGGTACTTTTAGGAAAAGTGGCAGAGACTTTATTAGTTAGTTTTGATTCATTACTTGGAGACCAAGTTCAGACCTGAATGACCAAGTTCACTGTGCATTGCTTGGAAAATTAATCTGGATCATGTACAAATACCACATGTACTATACATATGATTTTTTAATGAAACAATAATCAGAGCCTCGTTATCCAAAACACTCTTTGATTGAATCTTCCACAATCTAAAGATCCAAACACCTTCTCACTTTCCATTTCTGATTTGGTCATTATTTGCAGTGATGGCTTCCTCTACAACAACTACTTACTTCTAATTTTACAACTCTAATTCCATTGCCCTGCAAGTTAACTGGTTATAACTATAACTGGTGGTAAACATTAGTTACTTGAGGTGGCTTGCCATGCTAAACCTAACATGCCTCACAGAAATGTCCAAAACGACCACAAGAAGAACACTGAGAGATGTCTCTGTTTCTATCCTTACCATCGTAGCAAACAATTTACCAAGACCAAATAAAACTATGAAGCTTTAAATTATTCAGATATATTGTGGAAAGCTTGGTCAAGGGTGTCTAGATAATAAGCTCTGGTACCATGTCAACTTTAACATGGTAATATTATTCCAATTAAAGTTCATAGGTACAGTACAGGATATTTATTCAGGGACTAGATTGCTTTTCTAAGCAAGAAGTTAGTCTCCACGTACTAGACTTGGCCACAGACCTCCCCTTCAAGCTTACTTTTCCTAATACCCCCTCAAGATGGAGCATATATCTATTACAAATGAATTGTTTAGGGCAAAATAACTTCAAATAAATATTGACTTTTTAAATAAATATGGCACACCTGGTGGGACAAAATGACTTTGTTGTTAGACAATTATTGAGTGCTTTGCATACTTCTCATTAGGAGGCAGTCACAGATATTTTGAGGAATTTGAAGGAAGCACTTGTAGGAGGTGTGAGGCCTAATTTATAGAATCATAGTCATAAGAGCAAAACAAACTATAGTTTTTTGATCTAGTGCCAAATAAGAGTAGAGCAATGGCAAAAACTACTTGTGAATTAATTTGGTTAAAACATGTTCTTGATAGGATATGGACCAAACATTCTCATCCAACTTTGTGATAATCAAGTCGGTCTCCATATGGCATCAAATCCTCCCCAGTGTTTCATGAGTGAACAAAACATATTGAAGTTGATTATCACTTGATTTGAGCACCAAGCCCTACTTATTCCGTGTGGTATACTGACCATTTGGCAAACTTATTTACAATTATCCTAGAATATCATACATTTGTAACAAGTTAGGAGCATATGATATCTATGCTTCAATGCCTCAAGTTGAGGGGGGGTGTTAGGAAAAGTGGCTGAAACTTTGTTATTTATTGTCCATTAGTTGGAGACCGAGTCCAGAACTTGGTTCTCATACCATTCATTGCTTGGAAAAGTAATTTGGTCCTTGTATAAATACCCACTCTACATATATTTTTTTGATGAGAAAATATAATAATGTTAAAGATATCAGATACCATAATGTCAAGGCTGAAGAAATTAAACGAAGTAATAAGGAAGATCGAATAAGCTTAGTGTCTTTGAGGGAACACGGGATCAGCCCAAGGCTTTACCACATCTGCAAAACAGTATAGCGCTGATTGTTAAAACTTAAAAAAGAGTCAAGGTGCTTTCAGACCATAGTATTCTGATTTTGAAATTTTATGTGCTTACTTCCTTTTTTTCTGCTTAACAATAGATATCCTGCAGTACACTAAACATGGATATACTAAATCTTCCTCTCAAAATCAAAAAGTTAATTGGAAAGTCAAATAGCAAACAAGATTGTTGCAGGTTGACCAGGCTTAAACCCATTTGTAGCAATTGATACAAACTTGATCAAGCAGATGGGTTCTATGCAGTGATCAATACTAGACAGGGATCCTTTTTCCTAGTAAATCAAGGAATAGGCAGGGCATAACGTGTAAAATAGTTTGTTGTCCAAGCAC